CCTTATCTTCCCTCCATAGTTATTATAGTGCAGGAAAGAAGAGGGAAAAAAAAAAAGAAAAAAGAAGAAGAAGTGGATGGATAAAAAGACGATGAGAGCACAGACCGGTGAAAAGGTAGACAGCAGGATGGACAGATAGATCACAAATATTCCAGGAATAAACTGATGGGAGAGAATGACATAGAAGAGCAGGAGAGGACAGAAAGGTGGCAGTTATCTCTAAATATAGTTTCAGTGCTGGAAAAGCCACGTTTGGAAAGTGTGTGTGTCACTATCTGCTGCTGAGTATCGTTTTTGTCTTCCATCCCCCCCAGTATCCACGATTGCCCTCCACTGACAACCACAACAGCAGACAGCCAATTCAATTTAATCTCTGTCTGATTGGAGGGAACAGATCTGATTACCTCTCATAGAAGCCACACACACACACAAACACACACACACACACACACTCAAAATGCCGTTGTTTGTGCTCTAAGATTCCCCAGGGAAAGATATCAGAGTAAATGGCTGCAGTGATTGTGCCAGATAGACTGGATGTGTGCATAATATCCACACGAAGAAGATAATGTGTTTGCTAATCGCACACCAGAGACGAGCAAACACACACCCACACACGTCCACACACACAAACACAAAGGCTAACAGCTGCACAGCTATAACCCTTAACCACTCTTTTCATGCCGCTGGCTGCCAGCTACACTGTAGAAAACACCCTCCCACACATCCTCAGCAAAAAAAAAAAAAAATCCCATTGTGGGTGAGGCGTGATTTTTCAGAGCTGTGATGACAGTTGACTGCATGTGTTGACAGCAGCGGAAGTTATTAGAACTTGTAATCATATTCGGTGTCACATCACGAAAGACAGACGGGCATCAGCGAGCGTTTTATCCGAACGCCTAACGATGCTATGGATGCGATACCGAAAACAGAGAAGACAAAAACTTCCTCATGTGTTGGCCACAGTGGGTGATAAATCCCCCAGAATAAAGTGCTGCTATGTTTACAAGTCAGGGTTTAGAAATCAACGGCATTCAAATGATCCAAATGATTGTTGGTTACCTGCCAAAGTGGATGCTTCGGGTAGACAATTTACCAACATTTGGCGAGCCTCAAATATTCATTCACAAGCCTGATAATGTCCATACAGATTGAAACAACAATACGGGCACGATGCCAGCCTCACTGAGATAAGCACAGTTTATTCACCGAGAGGGATTTCACTATTTTGAGTTGTTCTTTTATTTAGTTTTGTCACAATGGCGTCACTATAGAAGCTGAACTTCAAGCTGTGAATAAACACTGTAGACAATTTGCTTTAGAGCTGTTACACAAGTGAACTAAATTAGAGCACTGTAAAATACAGAAAATCTCCACTATCTCTCAGCCAGCTTGTTAACAAACCAATCTTTGTACCCTGCTTTGACTAGAAACTACAGATCCTCTGGAGGGTAAAGCAGAAGCGGGAGCATACGTTCAGTAACCGCTCTGTAACAGCTTAAGTGTAATCTGTAATTATATTAATTACACTACATTTAACAAACTGCAGTGTTGTTGAAAATGCTGCGTTGTAATGTCAGGATGATTTTGCTCGCATGGTGAAAGTGGGAAATGCGATTCAAAGGCTCCCCAGAGTAAGGCATCCATGGTTCATCATACTTCATTAGCAAGGTGGGCGCTGAGATGTAAAAGTTTTAAGTGGAGACAAAACTGTCTGCAGCTGCTGGGCTCTTCCCAAATGTCAAGTTGGCTCGCTGTTCTAATTTGACATTCACATAAAAGTGTTTGTACTGGCAGACTGTCAACTCCATGTTTTATTGATAATGACAAATATCAAAATGCATGTCTTTTTATTTTTAAAAAACTGGCTATACTAATTAACAAACATCCACTTGAGGCGTCTCGCTGGAGTCTCGCTCATTCCCTTAACGTCAAGGTTGCAATCGGCAGAGAGGGAAGTAAACAGCCATGCATAACCACGTTAGGAGTAGAGGAGGTGGAGGGAGGCGAGAGAGAAAAGAAATCAGAGAGGGATAGAGAGATGTAATCTCTTTGGATTTATTAAGGATTAATAAAGACCATTATGCTTAAAGAACTGAGCCTGACCAATACGACTAATTCTTTGTCAAAGAAAGCGCAGAGCTGCGGTTATTCAGCTCAGGTCATGTAAATTGTAAAGGTCAAAGGTTATCTCGAGCTTGTCATGGTAATTCAGTAAAAACCTTCTACTTGAGAATAAAGCGCTCTTAGAAAAATGACCCCTGGGCTCACAAATGAAACATAATTGTGTATGTACAAAAAGGAAGAAAAAAAAAAGCACACACAGCGATGCACAGAGTGAGCACACACCAACTGTGATTAATGTGTGACACGTAGCAGTCCCATAGTCTTTTTCATTACATTCTTCTCCACAGAACTGTGAAACAAAGGCCTGAGATTAAACAGCTCTCATTCACATTGACTCATTAGTCTCCCTCACTCACTCTCTCTCTCTTCATGATCAGTCTCCCTTCTGTGTCTCACTTATCCAGGACAAGGTCATTTAGGAGTCTGAGGAGTGGGAGGAAGAGGAGGAAGGATATGAGAGGAGTGCATGGGCTATCCTGCAGGGATTCTCACAACAAGCCGAGCCACCGTTTACACCCTAATGACAATCAAAGATTCGGCGTATCCATTTTCATTCAAATTTGGCCACTCCGGAGAGTCAGAAACTGGAGGGAAACATCCATGTGTGCTGCGCAAACACATGGGTTTTCAGGTCATACACATGGAGCACGTTAACGAAGTTTCCTATTCCCAGAGCATGCTCGTTGCTTGTGTGTGGTATGTGATTGCATTTGACTTTCATCACCCTGCTGAGAGTGTGTGTGTCTGTGCACGTGCGTGTGCGTGTGTGTGTGTGTGTCTGTTGGGAAGAATGACCCAGATCAGAGGAGAGATGAATACACCCGGCGTGAGCCAATCTTGATGAGTCTGTAGCTGAGCAAATTCTATGTCCCATTTGTAGAAAAAGAGATACAGATAGAGACAAGTTATAGGGTAATGGTTGTGTGTAAGTGTATGTGTGAGTGTGTGTGTGTGTGTGTGTG